AAAACGTTGCTAAAAGAGAATAGCATAACTTAAAGGCTATATTATAAAAAATTATTTCATAAACCCTTGTTTTTTTTACCCGGTAGTGCATCGAGGTTGGAAACTTAAGAAATCCCATGCGAATTTTGAACTGTCCAAATATTGGCTCCCCTAGTAATTTTACTGCAAAGTCGTACATAGGTTTTTTAAAGGTCTGCGTACGCTGAATACATCTACCAAATTTAAACAATTTTGGATAAGCCAATTTTAAGTAATTTAAGAAAAACTGCATATATTTTTAAATTAAAACTGAACAGGTAACAATACAAAACTGGCCAAATGTCAACATACCTTAAGTTGCACACCTATGATTTTATCATTGTGCTCTGTACATTAGTACTACATAGTAATAACTATGGTTAATGCTTCCGAAATGCATTTTTGTAATTAACATATGAGGCAAAGGCCTAACGTTTAGGAAATACAATTTGACACTGACAAAATTATAGGATGACGACTTAAGGTACGTTGACATTTGCCTGGTTTTGCATTGTTACCTGTTCATTTTTAATTTAAAATAGACGTAGTTTCCATTAAATTACTAAAAATTGGCTTTTCCAAAATTGTTCAAATTTGGCATGCATATTCAGCATACGTGGGTCTTTAAAAAACCTATTTACCACTTGGCTGTAAAATGACTAGGGGAGCCAATATTTGGACAGTTTAACATTTGCGTGCGATTTTCTATGTTTCCATCAAGGATGCACCAGCCGGTAAATATATTTTATTCATTTTAACATTACCACTGTAATTAATTCAAAATATTTTGTAATTTATATTATCCTAATCGGTCAGATTAAAATCCTAAAGGGATTAGCACAAAAATTATAATTGCAAAAATATTTTACGGTATAATTTACAATACCCTCGGGGATTCACAAAGCGGTATTTTATAGCGATCCTTATATTTCCAGCCTACTCGCGTCTCCCTTGTTTTGACGTATCTATCGTTCTCTCTTCTGTGCACTAACAACTTCAAACAAAACGAGCTTATCTTTAAACGAAGCAAACTAAACCACCCGACAGGTATTATTGCATTGGGAATTGTTAATGTCGTAATTTATCACGAGGAGGCGTTGCGATCGATATATCACCCCACTGAAGCAGACATAGGGTGTCATATGTTTAAAGTTGCTTTATTTCTGAATTGTATATAAAGCTTTGAATAAAAATATTAAGGAAACGAAGGAGTACAATTCTAACCATGTATTCATGCAAGGTAGACGGACAAAGGGCCCTAGAGTGGGTATCCTTGACAGTTCTGTTTGACGATTCATTTGACATATTTGAACTTCTCCTTCTTTCTTCTCAAACTGTCCTTTTCAGGAGAGTGTTGCGTTGCCTAGGCTGCCAGGGCCATTCTGGCTAAGTACTTTTCTGCTTTTCTTTTTTCTGGTTGGTCACGTTTTATGGACCTTCACTGATTTATCTTTCTTAACGAGTAACAATTATTGAGGCTATTAAACAGGTTGCTTTAAGCAATTACTGCGCTCTAGTTGCAAACACATTACAACAATTACAAGAAATGTTGAACACATATACCTGGGCATACGAGGCTTTGGGTCTTAAGCTAAACATCGACAAAACCAAAATCATGTGCACTCCCCCGCAAGATCATAACAATGCTATAAAAATCGGAGAAGAACTACTCGAATATGTAGCGGAATTTAATTACCTCGGCAGTTTGATTTCGGAAAAGGCCAATATAGACTCTGAAATTCAGCACAGGATTAGCAGCGCCCCAAGAGCATCCTGGAAATTAAAAGACAGGGTTTTCTACAATCATGACTTGAGTACAAAAACGAAACTTGCAGTGTACCGAGCAGTTAAAATCCCGACCATGTCATATGGGAGCGAAACCTGGGTGCCGTACCGCCGACACATGAACGCTTTAAACAAGTTGCAATAGAGACACCTTAGACAACTCTTAAGAATCCGGTGGTTCCATCATGTCACAAACGTATCGGTCCTTGAAAAAGCTAACTGCGGGAGTATTGAAGTCATGGTTACAAAATCCCGCTTAAGATGGGCTGGTCACGTATGCAGAGTGCAAAAAAACCGCATACCAAAATCTATGCTTTACGGTGAGCTTTTAGACGGTAAGAGGAGGCCGGGTGGACAGCTCAAAAGGTACAAGGACATTTTCCACGAAAACTTAAAGGGGATTAACATGCAGAATCATTGGGAAGAAGCAGTTCACAATAGAACTCAATGGAGAAGAATTGTAAAGTCAGTTAACAGCGACAACCAAAAAGTAAAGAGGCAACAAAGCAATGAGATTTTTGAATGTCCGGAGTGCGGTAGGCAAATAACATCACGTATCGGGCTTTTCAGTCACAGGAAAGCTCATGAAAGAAAACGCCTTGCGTGACCATCTTTTGATGCGTGTCGAATACTCGTCAGCGAGTAATGGCAGTATGTATGTATGTATGTACGCTTTAAGCTCTACGACTATTCAGTTATGCATACATTCTACGAGTACTAAGCAGCTCTAAGTCCCAATAATTACAGCGCATTTCAAGAAAATGTGATTATGACATTTCAAATTTGCGGCTATTTCTTTTTCTTGATTATAAGGTTAATGCTAGGCTTTTCATTAGTAAATATTTAGAGTTTTAAATTACTAACATTCAAAAACAATGCGATTTGTTTTATGTGTCCTGTCTTGTTGAATTTGAAAAGGATGTCATGCAGGGAAATCGGTTTTTGCTCTATCTCATTGTCGAAATAGGAGTAGTAATAAGATTTTTTGGAGATTATAATTGTGTGGACAAGCAGTTATCAAATGAAAGATATCAGCAACCTCTCCACACTGACACAAATTGTCTCTGTTCATTCTGATTTTATAGAGATGTGACGGGGATAAGCAATGGTTTGATCTGAGTCGACACATGGTGGTTATTTGTTGCTTTGTCAAGGATTTGTATTGTTTGAACCATGGAGTCGTGTATGGCTGCTGAACGGTAGTGCAATATTCTTTCCCTTTCGTTCTACCAATGGTCACAAATCTTTCTTGCCATTTATTGCATATGCATTCTTTCATTTTTCGTGTAAAGGTATTATAATCTGCTGTGGGATGTAAGATCCGTCCAGCGTTGACCAACTTGTCTGCTTCCTCATTAATTGATTTTTTTCTTGATTTAAAATTTTAGGGATTTGTCAGTCTTTACTGAGCTTATTTTATGTTATTTATTGTTTATTTTAGTACTGATAGTTGTTTAAAGGTAGTAAATCTAGAAGGAAATTGTAGCAGCAACTTAAATTAACAGGGACGCTATTGCAATTTATCAAAAAAGACTGTAGAATAGTTGGTTGTGTAGCGTGCGGTAAATCTCGCTCAAAAATCGAGGGAAATAATAGAATAACTTTTTGCTAGTAAGTGACTATATAATATACATACGTCTAGTATACCGATCATTTATGAAATTCCTTAAAATTACTAATTATATAATATATATTATATATTAATATATTTTTCTTGCATTTTTGCTTTGATTTACTACTTGTCAAAGATTAGATCTTAAAGAATTTAGATACGACAATTTGACTTACCTGCTTCAGTAGCGTATCGGATGTTTCAGTTATAATAAAAGTTAGTTATAATAAAGAATTATTATAACTTATTTATTTTTATTAGAATTGTATATTTTTATAACAATTTTAATAATACCAACATTTATTGACAACGTAAAATAAACAACAAATTAGTGTCTACCCTACATCATATTTTTAAACGTTTTGAATAAAATTAGCACTGATAAACCGGAATTTAAATCGACCATTCTAGGAGCCCATCGCGGTCGATCTAATGATAACGATCTTTGATAAGCTCCTTCGTTAATCTTTTTATTCAAAGATATGAAGTATTGTTTCTAATAGTCAAATTTTTTCAATATTTAAAATTAAGCCACAAAAATACTACAAAATACTAATTAAATATTTTTTTGTCTATTTCTCATCCATTTATAAATTAGACAAGACGTATATGAAAATATGAGCAAACATCAACAAAATTGTCTAGCGCAAATTTTTATATGGTTTGCTTTATTCAAAATAGCAATAAAGTTGAAAAATAAAATTCAAAACATTCGAGAAAGATGCGAAGCGTAGTTCGAAAAGCTCAAACTAACAAATTGTCCGACGTATTCAGCTATAGGGATATATCTTGCTGGCTTTAAAAATAATCTTCTTCGCCAAATAGAGACTACGTTCGTGATTCGATTGCCTCTTCTGGATAATACGGAAAATGCATTTCGAATAACGCCACGGAATTTTCTTTACTTTGCGATTTTCTCTTATAAATATTTATTTTTCAAAACCTAATAAACTATGATATGCATTTGATTTTTTTTTGAAAATATATAGTTAAGAATCTATTACGCTGTACTGTTCGGGTTGCTTTCAGGGGCCGGGTAAAGCAGGTGTGTGGCCGAAAGAAATATATATCATATTTCAGAAATCAGCATAAGGCTTAGCCCGATCCTGTGACAAGATCTTGTTACAAAACCATATAAGTTATATATCACTATAATCACAAAACTTCAATCTATTTCCGTATTGTAACGGAATTTCAAATTATGTTTTTATTTACGAGAAAATTTAGTCCAAACATAAGGAATATTTTGTTGATGTTTGACCATCAAAATCTTAAAAATAAAAAAGTTGTCTAATAATATAGTATAATCCCTTATCTTTAATTTCCTTCTTCATTTGTTTAAAAATTCCTAGCCAGTTTTACATAAAACGTTAAATGCCGAACGCTTATTTTGCTATTTATTCGGACTAGTGAAATGGACTCTTAATATTAAATATTAAGCAAAATTAGAAGATCATAATAAGGGTAAGTAATCACATTGTAGAAACAAATAACTGAAGGGTTCTTTAAATGCTTAAATTTAAACTTTTTACCTCGTCTTATAAAATATTTGTAATAAACTAAGTTGGAAATAAACAACACCTACCTTCTGTCGTCACCATTCTAGATCGTACCAAATCGGCTTTGTTCGACACCAAAATAACCGCCTTCGTGCCTATTGTGTCCATCGTCCATAAATTCTGAAGGATCTTCTCTGCGCAGTCAAAACTCGATCGATCTGCGCAGTTATACACCACACAATACGCATGTGGGTCGTTATATTTGTTTATGAGGGTATCAGGCTGAAACAAAAGGAAAATAGTTAATTTTTTGAACTAGAGGAGATCCATTTCTATATACAGGGTGGCGCACCTCATTCGCCTCGGTTGATTATACGAATACGGAAGATGTAGAAACAAAATATTTTATGGGTGTATGTGGGAAGGCAATGTGCATAATTTAAAATTATTTTCAAATACTTATACAGGGTGTGTCAGAACTAAGATCTATACCAAAGTTATATTCTTTCTTATGGAATACCCGGTATTTTATATCATTTGTGGATTCTTGGGCAAAAAATAAGGCATTTATTATAAGGGTTTAATATATTTAAATGCTTTGGTTCTTGATATATTTAAAGATGTTTAAATATGCATGCTATAATAAAAAAGTTTGTTAACACCCTGTCCATTTCAATCTGCTTTTCATAGGTAATTCTTGTGCTGACTTTAAAACCAGAGAAATAAACTTTACTAAAAAAATTTATTGCTTCCTTAAATTTATACAGGGGTATAAAAAATTGCTGGTTAAATTTTAAATATTTATTTTATATAAAAACTTCGTTAGTTTAAATACAACACTATGTATTTTTTTAAATAAGTCGAAGGAGATTTAAATGCTCTTTCAAACTATTAGAGCTTCCTATACCTATCTGGCTCAGATTTTGAATAAAAAGCGATTTTTCAATAAAATGGCAATCAAGATGGCTGGTCGCCAGGACAATTTGCTAGTGACAGTTATTGGTTTACGGATTTTATTTAAATTTATAACAGATTTATTTATTTTTTATTTATTACTACAATAGTTTAATAAGTAAGTATTTATTATTTTATTAAGAAAAATAAAGAAGTGATTTATATTACGATGACTTGTAGATATATTGGATTCTCTATAAAAGAACCAATTAAGGCAAATTCATTTTCTTCACTTCCAACAGACAGGTTTCTGTCTAATAGTTTTTCCATATTCCACACTATCAGCACTGCGAAATAGGAAAAGTAGTTTTTCAAAAAAAACGCTTGTCAAGAAAATTCCTATTTCGATATCTTTGAGCATATACCCTTCAGGCTAACAAGCAATTGTCTTCAAGAAATAAAATCACTAGTAACGTATCCATTATTTCCGCCAGCATAACTGCTTCATTTTTCTTGATAAAATAATAAATACCGACTTATTAACCTTATTGTAGGTCAATTAAATAAAAATAACCTGTTATAAATTTAAATAGTCCATAAACTAATGTCGATTTTGAAAATAGCTACTAAGTGTCACTAGAAAATGGCCAGGGCCACACCAGCCATCTTGATTACAATTATTTCAATTATTATTGAAAAATCGCTTTTTAATCAAAATCTGAGCCAGATAGGTATAGGAAGCCCTAATATAGTTTGAAAGAGCATTTAAATCTGCTTCGACTTAATTAAAAAAATATATAGTGTTGTATTTGAAATAACGAAGTTTTTATGTAAAATAAATATTGAAATAGACCAGCAATTTTTGATACCCCTGTATACATTTAAGGAAGCAATACAATTTTTTAGTAAAGTTTATTTATGTGGCTTAAAAGGCAGCACTAGAATTAACTCTGAAAAGTAATGGACAGGCTGTTGACAAACTTTTTTATTATACCATGCATATTTAAATATTTTTAAATATCTCAAAAACCAAAGCATTTAAACATATTAAACCCTTATAATAAGTGCCTTATTTTATGCCTAAGAATCCAAAAATTATATAAAATACCGGGTATTCCATAAGAAAAAATATAACTTTGGTATAAATCTTAGTTCTGACACACCCTGTACATTTAAAAATAATTTTAAATTATGCACATTGCCTTTCCACATACATCCATAAAATATTTTGTTTCTATATCTTTCCGTTTTTGTATAATCAAACGAGGCGAATGGGTGCGCCACCCTGTATAAATCAAGTCCAAGAAGGGATTTCATTTCATCTGTAAGTTTGTTTGTTTATGTGAAGCTGGCGAATCAGCTTCGGTTAACTAACTACGAACCGGTGCTGCCAAGTTCAGAGCGCTAGACCATTAAAGTTGCTGCTGATTATTAAAGGAAATTTAGAAAGTTCGTTCTTGGCTCGTTACCGACTGGACTACCTCTACCTCTTGCAAATTATCAAAGTTTTAATGGAGTCCCGAGACGATAACTTTTCAATAACGGTATTGTTGCTGTTATTAAGAATTCCTTCACCTAGATGTAAATTTCGTTCAAATTTGTTACATTATTTATCTTGTACATCTGATACTATCTTTAATTTGTCTTATAAACTAAATTGAATTTGTCTTTTATTATTACTATTAAAAAATAAATTTATTAAAATAGATACGAAAATGTTTTAACACGGATTAAAAAATAGACACGAAAATGTTAAGTAGGAAGAACAGAAGGAATATTAGTTTTTAGATGATGTGACATAGAATAATGAGGTGCTCTAGTTGCAAATTACGTAAACAGAATAAGTAAGAAGCTACAAGATTGTTTAACTTTGTTTTACATATATGACACTGATGAAGGCTGTAGTGTTGGCTGAGACGTTTGTTCTTAAACTAAATAAAGATTTTTAAACTAAATGAAAACATAATTCAGCGTTTTCGGAACCTAATGTATTCAGAAAATTAATTTAAGAATAGTTTAAATATTATATAAAATTTCTATTAATAATATTACGTGATCAGAATTAAAAATAATAATTATAAGAACATTTATTTTCTCTTTTAATCAAATAAAAATAGGATAAAATAAAAGAAATAGTATAACAAATAATTAAGTATTTCAGGAAAAAGGTACAATACAAACACACTAAATAAGAAAAGACTGTCCTTGCTAATATTTTTTTGTTAGTTTGCTATTTATTGCCATTCCATTTTTTTTATCTGATCGTTTGAAAAAAGAGCACGTAGGGGAGGAATAAATAGAAATAAATATACATTAAGCTCTAATGTGTTTTTATGGTTATATATCATATCATTTTTATAATTATTATTAAAACAATTTTTATATTTTATGGGTACATAAAAGTAATTATTTGTGTATATTCATATATTTTTATTTTATTTAGACAGCGAATAGCTATTATTTTGAAATCTATAAACATGTTTTATAACTTGTTCTAATATAATAGCTTCTGTATTAATTAATGCAAAAATATAGTGAAATATTTTAAAAATGTTGTCATTATGAATAAAAAAAGGTTCATAACTAAGAAGTATATGATTAACATTTTCTTTTTTTTTAATTTATCAGAATTTTTCAGTAAATCATAAGCCTAGTGTTTAAAATATTATTAAAAACAAATAATGAAACAAACAACTATACAGGGTGAGTCTTAAATAACTGCCAATATTTTTAGGGGTAGTATATTTCGACCCCAGAAACACGATTATGAGTTTATTTTCGGAAAAAAAATGGGAAATTTGGAATTAAAAAAAAATGTTGGCTTCTTTTTAGTTTTTACTTAAAAACCATAATTTCTTGATCTGCCATATGATATATGAAATCTGTATAAAAGCAAAAGACTAAAACCATGTAAAAGTATAAAGCTTGTCAGAATAAAAGATTATGACGAATATTAAACACTAATATCTAGGACATGGGGTGTACGGATAGATTACCTCCTCGTGGTTCACCCCGGACAACAGTCTTGCCGGCTAAAAGTCTGCACAATACGAGAGGCACACAATCTGATCCGTAAACAGACAACTAAAATTAAATCTATTTTGATTTAATATTTTTAGAATTATAATTATTAAACGTAAAAAAATTATTTCACGTATTTTAACTCTAAAATTAAGTGAAAAACAATATTCTATTTTATTTTAAATACTTAAGAAAATAAATATTTTACAACTAAAGTTCATTGGACCAAGAACACGTGGCAAAATAATTTATAAATTATTAATTAAAAACTTCGCCCTCTTCAAGCTTCTTTATCGTCCACAGTTTGAAAATTTTAAATTAATTATTAAATTGCAAAGCTGTCGAGTCTGTTTTGTCGTTGACAGGTCAGTTTGAAAACATATAAATCGAGCATATAAAATCAAATTTTTCCCCTTTTCGGCAATAGCCTTAAAATGGTTTATATAATATTAAAGTAAAAAAAAGTAAAGTAACGAACTGGTAACATTTAAAAAAACTTTTATATATTTATGAGAGTAAATTTAATTTAATTTTTTAATCGTGAGTATATACAATATGAATATCAAATATAAGAAATATGGAATATACTTAATAAAGATAGAATAATATACATCTGTCTTTATTTCATATAAAGAAAGAACTCAAGGTTATCTAATTTGTTATTCATTTTAAATAAAAATGGGACACGTCAATATGCCTGCTTATATGGGAAATAAACAGAATTCAGTCTGTTTACAGGATATCCTATTCAGCCTGTCATTGAGTTTAAACGTTTTTGAAGCGCTCGACTGAAAGTTACTTAAAGAGTGAAACGTTCTCACTTCAGCGAAAAAGAAGTTGTTTCCTTTTCATCCGCGCTTTGGATCATATTCTGACGCCTTCCATTAAACCATAATGGATATTTCTCCATTGAAGATACTTCCGAGAAAAAAGGAGATAATCCAGCGCACGCTCGGATTATCAGTATTCCATTTTTTTCTTGGCTGTATTTTCTTATTTTTTTCTTGGCGATTTGACGTCGCCCAAATTTGACGAGCTTTCCACAGACATTTATTTCATCTAAAGTCGTTTCATTTATTGTGTTCTCTGTGGAAGCACGTACTTTTAACATAATTTCTTTTATGTTTTACTTTCCTCGGAAGATGAATTTGGTATAAATAAAATATTAACCTTGACATTAAGACTTTTTTGTTGGATTGGAATATTATTCAGGGTTATTATACAGGGTGAGTCTTAAATAAATGCAAATATTTTCAGGGCTGGTAGAACTCAATAAAAGAAACATATTTTCTCTTTGCCGTTTTTCAAATAAGTCCAAAATAACCGAGTTGTTTAAGTTTGAAAATTTAAAAAAAAATGTTTATTTT